AAAGAGGGACGACAGCAGGAGGAGGGGAGCTCGCTGATTTCTTGGCAAAGCCCTAACTTCCCTATTAATTATAGCAGGTCTTCCCTCCGCTCACCTTCTCCTAAGCGGTCCATTCAAGCATCATGAGAGTAATATGAAATAAACAACCAGGACCAAGGGACAGATAATGACTAATCAGGCCACTGAGGAATTCCTCTCTTCATATTAGAAAACAAAGAACCAGGACTAGAAGTTGGAATTAAATTCCATAATCCAAATTGATGCTCAAGCTAGCCCCTTACTCAAAAAACATCCGGGAACTTTAGAGCGCCTGTCAGGGAACTGGAGAGTTTCAGACAAGATGGAGATTTCCCTTGCAAAAGATTTCCCTTCCCACCCCAGGCAACCAGAGTTGGAAGCTTCTTCCTGTTGAATCTGCTAAGGTAAGATAAACCTCCAGAGTCACTTTTTCTCGACATTACAGGTATGATGGCACTCCACACTCAACACAGTTATTTGCATGGATTTTATCACCAGAAAACACAACCTCACAGTGTTGGCCATAACCCCTTATATAGACCTTACTTAGGAGGGGCACGATGAGAGAGGGGATGGGGAAGGGCACGTTGTTTTCCTAGTCTGTTAGAGAGGACTTCTGACCCATCTGATAAGAGTCCATGAAAACTATACCCAGTGTATCTCTGGTCAAAACTTAACAGTCTTCGCCCACATTTTCCTATTGGTCCCCTTCAATCAGCTGAGCAAGAGAGATTTTTTTTTCCTATAAAAGTCCACAGTGTATCTAAATCTGATCCCAGTAAAATTTGACTTCAGCTGAAGTGAAAATGCAGAGGTAGCATTTACTGCAACAGCTGGAGAACATTAGTTCCCTGTCTCTCCTTTTCTCTCCCAGGGGTTGAAAATTCTGCTGTTCAGACAGGAAGTCGTCATATACCACACACTGCACAGCTCGAGAATGCTGGGATGCAAGAACAAGTTGTGGAGGAACAAGGAGTTGGGGGGGGGGGTCTGCTGCTGAATGCACAGGACTGGCTCCAGGCACTGTCCAGGCTGCCGCAGGTCATAATGTACGCATGCCCAGAAGTGGCCATCGCAAGGAACAACTACTGAAAGCTTTTGAACTCACGTTAGAAAGCTTAATCTTGCATTTCTCCACACACTGTACAAACATTAACTTGAAGACATTTTGGGGAGTGGCCAAGATTCTCCAACAATCTTTTCTGGCATACTTTCCCATTTGTTATCAGAAACTGACACCTCTAACTTCAAAAATAAATAAATAAACAAAAGTCATCAAAAATCTCATAGAACTGCCCAGGAAGAGAAGAAGATGTACAGCCACAGATACAGACGCACAGCTACGCGGCTGGACTGTACGCAAGGAATTTCAAACACGATCATCTAGAAAAGAATGATCTGAACAAAAGCTTCGTGCGGATCTGGCTTTCGGGGGTCGGTTTCTGCTGTAATTCCACAAATCTGCTGAGACATGAACACAGACACAAACAAGGGGAAAGACCCCGCAGTCTGTGACCACAGCTCCAAGGGCTGAGCAGGAGATAAGAGTTTCCTTAACATCACATTCTGGAGAGCCGTTCTGCATTCCTACCAGTCTGCGAGCTCCGGCCCCTCCTTTGCAACCGCCCGCCCTCTGGAACGCATGGTAAAATCGCCCCTTTGCTTCCACTTCCAGTACGTACAAACCTTGACTTCTGAAGTACAGAAAGCAAAGCACCTCTGCTCGTGCGCACGAGGGCATGCTGTTAATCAACTGAGTTACAACACTACGGTTTTATGCAAAGAGGGGGAGGAGGGAGGAGGGAGAAGCCAACCCACACATCCATCATCCTTTTAGGAGGAGGCGGGGTTTAAAGTTTCCCCAACTTCCAAGTTCGCACTTGACAGGCAATATTTCTGGGCATTTCCAGCCCCACGTAACAGATGGTCCTTGGCCCGGCTGGAGCCCCGAGAGAGCCCAAACAAAGCTCCCAGCCATTCCACGCCTCGCGGGACCGCTACGTGGTTATTTTCCCGAAATCGTCGGACCAGGGGCAGTCAGCAAAGAATAGAGGCTTAACTTCTTCCCGAAGGATCTCGCTCTCTCGCTCTCTCTTACTTTTATTTCTGATGCAGTAAACTCCAGAGAGCTGGAGCACAAAGGCCTGCGGAAGTTTTACTGTGCGATTTTCCCCAAACGTTCTCACAGGCGGCCAAAGCGCCCCTACGCTCCAGGTGGCCAGGGACGGGAAGCTGCGGCTCACGCGCCCCGCAACAGCGGAGCTGGCCCGAGCCGCCCCAGGCGGCCCGGAGGCTGCGTCCCGAGCCCGCCCCTCCTCCCCACGGAGAAGCGCCCTCCGGCGTCGGCCACTGAGAGCCGCTCGGGCCACAGGCCAAGGCCACGGCCTGGACGCGCGGGGTGCGCCGGAGCCCTGCTCCGCGGCCGGCACTCACCCTCGCTGCCGTACTGCTTGCCGTTGTTCGCGCCCATCCT